CATTTATTTTAGGATTTGTAGCTTTTATTACACTTGTTTGGTTGTGAAGTCCTTGGAGGTTTCCAAGGCAATTAGTAACCCATTTTGCAGAACTCTACCCTTTGTTTTGCAACATCGTCTGGAGCGCAATTGATTTCACAGACGTTCTTTCCAACCATCCTATTGGAGGTCGACCGTTGGAAAGGAGAAGGGTCGTCTGAAAAATCCTATTTTCTTGTTTTTAGACAAAGCAAGTGGCACGCCTAATAACCAAACTCACGTGGTAAAGGCCGGCTGAGGATTTTTGGGGAAACAATCCTTTGTTGGCACGCCCGGTGGGACCACAAGGTGTATCAGTTAAAGTTCACAGACCCTCTGTTTATACATCCAGAAGCGTCTGGAACCATGCCACCGAGAAAGAGCAGAGACAAAGAGGTTCAGCCAGCCCAGGCTGAGCATGCAGACGACAGCCCACTTCATTCTAAGGGTGAAAATGATCCCATCACTTTTCTCCCAGTGTCACCTTTGGCAAAACGGTCTTATGGGAATCCAGTATTTAAGGAGAAAGAAGCAGACCGTGGAGGTGACTTTGCTGAATCAAGTAATGTGTTTAGAGGTATGACTGAACGTCTGGATTTAGCATTCAAAGAACAGAACCAGGCTATGCGGAGACTTGTTGACAGTCAAACAGAATCTTCCAAACGTCAGGAAGAGTTAGTTAGACAATGTATAGAAGAGATGAGAAGGGTCTTTGAGGAAGGCACTAGGGTGATGCAAGAAACTGGGGAAGAAAGTCGCAGAACACTGCAGGCTGTTTCAGAACAAGTGGTTGAGCAAGTGCGACAGCCCAGACCTGAGATTCCTCCTCCAGTCGTTGAAATGCCCAGACAGATTCAGGAAGCCCCAATCCCAGCACTCGGGGGGCAAGGGAATCAGCCTCATCCTAACATTCAACAGCAGAATTTCTTCATGGGTGAAGGACAAAGACAGCATGAACCAATGGAGGCTGCTGCTCCTGTTGCAGACCATGGCCATCAACCTCAGCATAGGTATGTTCCGCCAGGTAGGAGGGGAAATGTGGGTCCTCATCATCAACCCTACCCAAGGGATTTTTTCCAGCCGCAAGTTCTTCCAGCCCAGCCGGTACAGCGTGGTCTGCAGAATCACCCAGCTCAATTATTCAATAGAGATCAGCTAATAGATTTGGTACAAGAAACCCATGAACCAGCCTTGAGACCATTGGTGCGTCCATCCTACATGAAGCCTTATCCAGACATCATTGATCATGAAAATCCTTTTCCAAGGGGTTTTAAAGTGCCTGAGTTCACTTTATTTTCTGGTGAGGTTGGTCAGTCCACTATTGAACATATTGGACGCTTCACAATATAATGTGGAGAGGCGTCTGGAGATGATAACTTGAAACTCATACTGTTCCCTAGCTCTTTGACTGGAACAGCCCTTACTTGGTACCTCAGTCTGCCTCAAAATTCAGTCTACTCTTGGAGACAAATGGAGGACTTGTTTCATACTCAATTCTATCGTTGTGAACCAGAAGTGTCTATGGCAGACTTGTCGAGGTTAGCCCAAAAGCCTGGAGAGTTGTTTGAGGCATTCCTTGCTAGGTTCCGGAGAGCCAGACTGAAATGTAGAGTTGCACTACCAGAACAAGAATTTGTCAAGCTGGCTCAGAATGGTCTGGACATTGAGCTCCGAAAGAAATTTGAGGGGATGGAATTCCGAGACTTCTATGAATTGTCTTATAAAGTGGCTCGGTATGAAAATCTGCTGAAAGAAGATATTCAAAAGAAGGCTGCATCACATGGAACCTATTATAGTGATCCTAATTTTGATCTTGATGTGGCTGAGGTGGTTGCAGACAAGCCTGTTGTTTGTCCAGACCTTGTTAGACCAACTCACCAGCCTGAGACGTCTGTGAGACGTTATGTTGGTGAGGCTGGAAAACAGTATACTTTTGATGTGTCAAAAGCTAGTGATATATTTGACCACCTTAAAAAGAGTGGTCTGATTAAGCTACCGCCGAGATATAAAATCCCGACAGCGGCTGAAATCGAAGCTAGAGATTATTGCAAATTTCATAATTCATGGAAGCATTCTACTGATAATTGTCTTATTTTTCGTAATATCTTGCAAGAAAAGATTGATAAGGGTATCTTAAAATTTCCAGACAAAGCGAAGGAAACCATAGGAGTGGATGCAGATCCTTTTCCAGCTATGTCTGTGGGCGTGAATGTCGCAGACCTCAGGAGTGTTGCCAGAAATCGCAGTCTGCCTTATGCTCAAAGGAACCTTGCTGCAGAAGACTTAAGGTGGGTTCTTGAGGCGCAGAGATCCAGACAGAGCAGGAGCGTCAGGTTAGACCAGCAGAGGCTCGGGGGGCAAGAAAGGATCGCTGTGACCAGGAACTTCAGTCTAGAAGGTGCCAGACGTTATTCAACTGGTACTAGATCTCCAAGGATGGTCAAACTGCCACTCAGGTTACCTTCCAGACGGTGGGAGAAAGTCAATCATCCCAAGTTTCCAGCCCAGAATCCCAGAACCTTAAGGCACAGACTGCAACGCAAGAGGGCTGAAGAACGAAAAAGGCAACAGAAGCAGGTGGAGGCTGAGGGAAGTTCATCTCGCAGACCACGCCAACCTACAAAAAGGAACATGGTGTGGGTGAGAAAACAGAAAAATGAGACTGTAACCCAGACTCTACAGAAGGAGGATGACCAATCTTCAGCCTCTCCAAAGGTGGCGTCTGTCATTGTGAGTCTAGACGGAGTTTTGAAAGCAACTTTTGAAGCACAAGAACAGTCTAGGAATCGTGGATCTGAATCAAAAGAAGATGGCACTATTCATTTTGGGGAATTCTTAGTGAATTTGTCATGTCTGGTGCTGACATTACCCTTGGTTTTCCAAGCCAAGAAGGAGGAGGAACCAATCATCTGTGAGTTCCCAGAACAGACAAAAGAAGAGGTAATTGTTGTTCCAGCTCAGGACGATGAAGAGGAGGACATGGCTGACAAAATTGTGTTTGAAAAACCAGAAGAAAAGATGGCCAGACACATTAGGCCACTTTATATCAATGCTCACATGGATGGGACTCCAATCAGCCGTGTCTTGGTGGATAATGGAGCTGCAGTCAATGT